GTTCCATTGATTATGGTAATTGTTCTGTCAGGACATTTCTTCTTAGTTCTAGGTTGCTTCTCTCCTTGATTAGTTTCCGCCAATTGCTTCTTGTTCTACTCTCAGGTGCTTTGGAGAATAGCTTGACTCCTTCCTCTTTGTGGCAATCCCTGAGATATTGGATCACTGCTATCATGTGACCCCCCTATTCCTTCTTTTCATTTAACTAGACATACCTAATAGGATGGTATACTGCAATTTTGCCAACATGATTTTGTCTCATACATCCATCAACTGGAATTCTTATAAGTGCTGAGCAAAGAGAATGTTTGGTTTAGAATTATTGTTTAATCAGCAATATTATGGTGGATATGATGGACATTCATTTATATTGGGCTTTAGAAATACATCAATACAATAAGGACAATATAGTAATGAAGCTGATTGACAGGATCCAAGAAACTGGCTCCTCTTCAGATTTTAGATACATTTTAGATGCATATTTTATTGTCTGAAATGTTTGGATATTTTTCAAAAATATTGAAATATATTCACTTTGATGCAACCTTAACAGTAAGTTACATCATGAGTGGAATACCAAATAAATAGAATCTGCTGTACAAAGTATACAATAGTTCAACTTGTGCATCTGCAATCCTTCACTCTTGTTCCTTTTATGGGGTGTTCAAGTGGGCTATATAACTTAATTCTATGTTTTAGCACTGATACAATAAATGCATTGTTGAGTCAACAGGATTTTCTGAGTTAATTTCCAGCATTGCCCATTGGAATTGACAGTTGCAATACTTCATCCTAAATATTTCTTCAAAATGTTTACTGAGTCAGTGATTTATAGGGGTGAGCAAATCTATTTCAAGCACATTAATTTATTCCTTCTTTTCTATATAACACAGAATGATTGTGAATGTAAGGAAGGATTCCAGGGCAATGGATATGAATGTGAACCAATAAACTACTGTTTGGAACAAAACTGGATATGCCATCCTTTGGTGAGTTATTCATTTGGATTGGTTTATAAAAGGTCTCAAATTCTCTGTAACTTTATTGTTTTTTTTTATTGTTTTTATTTTATTTTAATTTAATTTAAAACAAACACAATCCTTCTTTACATGCTGTAGAAAGTGTACCAGTTGGTTACAGTTGGTGTACCAGTTTGTGCATCTCTTCCACAGTCAACATACTTTATATTAACTCAAGAAATTTAATTCAAATATTTAAACATGTTACCATCATCATATCTCCATTTTCATTTGACTATAATTGTTGAAGCATCCTTCATCATAAAATATACTAAAGTTTCATACATAACTACATACTGGCCTTTCAATTACTATTTCTAAGATCCTCCACTA